TAGCCCCCGTACCTACAGAAAGTAAGGAAGAGATCAAACCACCTCAGTTGAGCGGGCAGTTGAGTGGCCCTATGACGATTGATGTCAAAGAACACAAGATTAGTGGATTACGTGTCAGGTAAGGCGTCACATAACGTCACATAAGACTGAATCTGGAGATTTGCGCGTAAAGGGTCAGGAAAATTTGCATTCGTTGAATCAATTTTTCATCTTTTTAAATCACGTCTTGTATCCTGCATTCATATCATAATGAATCAAGGGCATGTTTTCGAGGATTTTCTGTACGTAGGGAGAATGATTCGCAAGAACAGCCAATCAGAGCCCTACATCGAGGTGATAAACAGATTCCGCAAAAATCTGTTTTCCAAACTGCTGAATTGATTTGGCCATTAGTTATCAAATATAAACACAGCTAGAAATAATTGTGCTTMTAGTGTTAAAATATTCCAAATAAATGCTTGGGCAATTAAGAATTTTAATTARACCAGTCCTATTGTTCACTACGTCTATCATCATCGTGTTAATCCGACCAATCGTGTTCACCAATCGTGTGATCAAGCCTCTCTAAAGAGGTACACATCTGGTCAGGTTAGGTACTATTCAGTTTCCATTACAGTAGTGTCAGTGGTTCAGTGAAGGAATTCTGTTCGTTAGAAATGGCTTATGTAGCGAGGGGARATCATAAAAAAGTTATCCAGACAGGAGTTGAATCGTTCAGGGAAAGAGCGGTCGTCCTACAGCAAGAACTGAAAGAATGCGAGGAAAAACGAAAGCAGTTTTTAGAGGACTCCAAAAAGGCCAAGATTCGATTTCACAAGTATAAACAAGAAGCCCCTGGAATTAGGCTTCGGATGCAGGAGATCGACGAACGAATGGAGAAAATCGAACGAGATTTAAAAATAAACAAAGAGAAGATATATCAAACTAACCGAAGGAGGCAAGAGAATTTAAACATGATAGAAAAACTACAAGCACCAATGCCAGATATGGGAGAACTGGCAAAGGAAATCCAAACTGCAAGTCAATATGCAGGACTCATGAGACAGAAAAAAGCTGCGGTTCAAAGTAAAATTGAGAGTTTAGAGGATAAAATCCAAAGAGCCGAACGTCGCAGAGAGAAAGCCGAGGATATGTCTTATACGATTCTTCAGAAGCTCGCAACACACAGACATCTTCTGGGCAACCCAGAGGTTACTTCCAATTACAAGCCAATGAAGCAAGAAGAGTATATTAGCAGGATGAACAATGCAAGAGAGAAAATCAGAATCGCTGCGATCAGGAGGAGAAACGCTGAAGATATCGCTGGAAACTTAGAAAAAAGAATAGCAGTGATGGATAAAGCCCTCGATAATTATGAGAGGAGGATAAGTGACTTTCACAAAAGCAAGAGAGAAATCATGGGATCTAAGTTTTAGCTTCTTTGTGGCGGACTATTCATCGAACTGTGACTAATTCGTTTAACAATAACACCAAAATCTGGTGCTGGATTATTCCTAAATTCTGACTTTTATAAATTATAATTTAAAGAAATTACTAAATATGTACTATCAATATTGTTTTGCTGCCGAAAGGTAAGAGGTTCGCTCCGTGTTGGGACAGTTTYGGTGAACAGCTTTTTATAGAATCATTTGTTTACATATTAATATTTTATAACTTTGGAAAAGAATGGTCTTCAGGATTGTTTGTCTTTGTGTATGACAYAGAACATAATAGATTTACACAAATAAAAAACGGCTTTATGTAGCCAAACTCGAAAATTTGAGWTACTGCAGTAAATGATTGTCGTGTTTTGGGGGGACCACTTTTATCCTGCGTACCCTAAATGCTTTGCGCATCCAAGTATTTTTTTTCCTTTGATAATTTTTCGTGGGATTGGGAGGTTTATTATCCTTGGTTTTGTTATCCGTTAGATATGAAACATATACGAAAAATAAAGCGATTTAATTGTGAAACTATTCTTTATAGACCTTCTTAMATTTTCAGATTTACTTAATTCTAACTTAGCTCAAATTCTCATGACATGTCATGCAAGCATGAATTCTCACTATAACTGATAACTGTGAAACACTGAAGCGACAGAGTCTCTGGAAACAAGGGCTGAGAACTGAACCCCCTAAAAAATATAATCAGTATTATTAAGAAAATGTTGTACGATCGAATTATCGTAAGATTCGACGGTACTGGTTGGGGACCGGTCTTCTGCGGGCTTCTGTGGGAGCCATGACTCTTCTAGATTTTTCTTTTGTACGTCTCTAACAGTTTGAAATTGGAWTTCAACTGAGCGTCAAAGTGTTAAAAGAGTCGTAAGTAACTACAAGATATATTTTAACCTTTCTAAGAATAGCTTGATATAAATAACTAAGGACCGTACGAGTGGAGATCTAGATTGTCGAAATAGTTAGAAATGGCCACACTCCTGGACTAAACTGAGCTATAGAAGAGCTTGTGCTGTAATAATTTCTTAACGGCTTTCCTTTACCGAGCTTAGTTATTCTTTAAGAGACAGAATACAGCATTACCTTTTTATCTTTCAACCCCACCACGCACACTCTATGCTACTCGATCTTCAATTTTCTCTCTCTCCTTACATGCATTGTCTACAAAAAGATAAACTCTTTTCTGTGCCTTTCTTTTAGAACAATGAAAGTCGTCTTGTCTTGTCATAGTACACATTTTCAGCACCTCCTCAGGTCCTTTTTTTGCTGTAAAGGAAACTGATCGACTCCTGCCGTAGATTAATATACTAGAAACTTCTTGCGGGCTTCTTGCCCTTTAGGCCATCTCGAGGCCCCGTACCACGCTAAGTCAAAACTAGWTAAAATATTTTTAGATTGAATTTRATCGATCCTGGGTGAAGTCTGACTACACTAGGCCGAAGGGCTACGCACCTCTTCAGTCTACTTTAGAGAATTTTTCGTATAAGTAGAAATTTTGTACTTCCAGTAATTTCATCCAACCACAAAGCGTAGGACAGATACGTACGATACGGTACGATATGTACCTACGGCTGCATGTACAAATCTATGTTCTTAATGGGCCCTTAACTCGTATATTTGCCTATTTGAGATAATTCTCAATGGACCAAGGCACTGAAAAAGGCTTAGGTGATGAAGATATAAAATTCGTCTCATTTTAGGTTTTTAACAAGACGCTCTAAGAGCGCATACTGGGTTGCCTGGCTGGTAGATTCGAAACGTGAGAGCGCTTTTAAAAATCCACAGGTAGCCCAAATATTTTTCAGACAAAATTATTTTCCTGGTTGGTCTTCCTGTGTTCATTCTGCTCAGACGAAATGGCTGAAACATCGGAGAAGAAAAAGAMTCGACGTCTGCCACAAACAGTCACCTTATACCTCGTGCTTTACAATGCTTTACAAACCCTTGGGTAAGCTTACACTCTGTACTTTAAGTTAGGGACAAAAACATTGCAATCGCTGTTGTTTTGAAGGGTTTTCACACTTGGTTTGACGAGCCATGTGTTGATCACCAGAAAGCCTTGCAAACTCTTTACCAAAAGATTTCGATTCTAAAAATACGTAATTTATTTAAACCTGAATATATTTAAATTGGTCTAAGATAACATTTATTCAGCAAGAAAACTAAGATCAAGTAATACCTACTAAGCTGGTTTGTTAGTGAACATGCTCAAGTGTTTATTTTTTGTTATAAAATTTGGGGTATGATTTTTAGGTTTCTATAGAGACTATGAGAAGAGCATTGCATTTCCAGCACTTATAAAAATCACTTCGTAGAATCAAATATTTGCCTGGTCTATTAATTCGATGTTCGAAACTTTAGTACAACGCTTTTTATAGTTTTTGCTCTTGCAATCTATTTTGTCAGGCARATATTTGAACTCAGTTCGAGTCTTGGCATGATTTGGGAGAGCAATGAAGACAATCTAACATAGATGATACGTACGATATCAATGACATGTAGGCTTTAGATGAGTTTATACTTGTAAGCGTATATATGTATACATATGTTATGCCATCAATCCTGATTTTTTGCTATTATCCTGACATTGACACCATGATAGATGCATCATCTCTGAAAACAATATTTTAAAATTTATGTATTAAAGAATCATTCACAGAAATTAGAATTTAAAACTCGCAATGATTATTGGTTGCAGTTGAAGTACAGTAGGGAAGCATGCATGTTATTAATTGTTCATTACCAGTCTGAAAGAAATGGATATTTTTTAAACCAGAAAATCTGTGCACACCAAATGAAAGAATTGTAATCTTTAGTCTATATAATATTAATTAATCTTGGTTCCAATTTTTTTGTGCAGGTGGACATTAATACTTGTTCTTAGTGTATGGCATCTGATCAAGAATAGAAGTCATACAGGACTGTATGCAGCTATCAAAATACCACTGTCTATATTCCAGACAGCTGCAATACTTGAGGTTAGTATGTCTTCTATATATATGCTATTTTTCATCACTGGAATGGCTGGCAAGCAGTGTGCTATGAATTCCAGAGAGTGTTGTTTTGCTTGGCATCAATCAACTGAATAATCTCATTATCAGATGCAGGGGCAGATCTAGGGATTGGTGCAGAGGGTGTGCACCCCTCCACCTCTTGGATGAGCCGACAATTTTCTARTCAGCTAATTTCTTGATGCCAACACTCGCTAGCTTTGTTTTTGATTAAATGTATGTGAAATGCATTACTCATGATACCCACCCCCACCTGAAAAAAAATCCTAGATTCGCCCCCTGAGATGTGTTCACAATGATGGCCAAACACTAAACATCATGAACTGTCAACCTGCAGCGAGTATTTTACTGCTTGATATAAATCAGCTGAACAAATCTCATGGATCCATTGATAAGCCTACAATGATGGCTAAACACTGCTACTCACATACTGCTATAGAAGTACTAGCACTAACCTTTCWTAACAGCCTTTTTTATTGTTATTTCTTCTCCAGGTTGTCCACTGTGCTGTGGGTAAGTGTAGCAGTATTAGATCTCATCGTCTGTACAATAATTAGAGTTCATCAGATTAGACCCAGTCACTGTTTTACATTCCAGACCACTTATCAATYCCTTGAGAATAAGATTCTTTGTTTTAGTCTCACCCATGAACCTCTATCATGCACAGCAATGATGACTAGAACAATAGATTTCACACCACTGGCCTCACATTCAAGTGCTGCAGGATGAGGTTAACATGTGGTTAAACGAAGGCTTTTATTTTCATGGGGGTTTCCCCATGGGAACAGACATGGCACTCTGTGATAAAGGTCCATATTAATGCTCTTTAAGCATACTGTAGTGGTAAATCATGAAAGAAATAATACTGAAGTGGATGGCACACTTATTGAAATGCGTCAGAAATCGCTGGTTTCTTGTTGTAGTTGGTTTTTCAAAAATGTCATGAGAATACCTTGTTTTGTTTTTATATCAGGTTATGTGCSTTCTTCTGTCTTCCTCACTGGGTTCCAGGTTGCATCCAGACTCTTCCTTACCTGGGCTGTGGTGTTCACTATCCCACAGGTAAATAACCAGTTTTTTYCCTCAAACTTGAAATGGCTAATATACACCTATTTCAAAAAACGTTGTCATCACCAAAGGCAATAGGCCATASGTGATAGGCGAAAATCTATAAGATAAATGTCATTCCAAGATCCAAGAATAGCTGGAATGACTTGTGCTTCTTCTTCTTCTTCTCRTCAAGAGTATGGACCTTTGTGCTGAGACTGATTCGATGTCTTTGTATTSAAAGAAACCATTTCCATGTTGGAATGACATATCGCCTATTGCCTTTGGCGATGACAACGTTTTTTGAAATAGGTGTATATACTTTATAGCTATATGYACTTATCCCTTACTGTATCTACAGGTACAAGACTGCATGGGAGTGGCAGCATTTGTTATGGCTTGGTCCATCACTGAGGTCATAAGATATTTGTTCTACGTCTGCTCTCTGGTCAGCGTTTTGCCATATGCCTTACAGTGGTGCAGATACACATTCTTTTTTGTCCTTTATCCAATTGGTGTTTCGGTACGTTATTTTTTWAATGTTATTAGCAGGTCTGATTAGTTTTATTTAGAGTGATGGTATAATGATGATGATGATGGTGGTGGTGGTGATGGTGATGGTGGTGATGATGGGTTTGGGCGTTTGATGTGATAATGATAATAATAATATACATGTATAGTTGTCATAATGATGACCAATATAATTATAAGTGTGGTAGTGGTGATGATGCCATTATTGATAATTTATTTGTATGTTCAATAGAAGCTTGGGTGTATTGTTCTCCCATTTCAGACCATGTCTTTCCCTTGAATATGATTCTTCATTTGAGTTGTTTCCAAATTCATGTGTCTTCTCATGTGCAACTGTTAAACAAAGAAATAATACTCTTGGGAATAATACATGCTTTGAAATGAGCAAAACATTACAGCCAAGTTAAAGAGGTCAATTCTTGTCACTCACCAGGATTTCTTTAATCTTTTTATCAGGGTGAGCTGTTCACTATCTACACTGCTCTTCCTCATGTCCACAAGTCAGGCATCTACTCCATACCCTTGCCCAATCCAGCAAATCTTGCATTCAGCTACTACACTTTCTTGATCCTGGTGATGCTTTCCTATATACCTAGTAAGTTGGTCAAATAAAGTTCAGTTAATAATAGGTAAAATAATTGGGTAAGTCTTGTATGGGAAGCCTTTGTTTAGTAGTATTGGGAAGCGATTTCAATGCAGGAACCCATTTCATAGACCAAGAAAACCATTTTGGTGCAATGGAACCCATTTCATTGTAATGAAAACCTTTTCAGTGCAATAGAAACCATTTCACTGTAATAGAAACGATTTCACTGTAATAGAAACCATTTCACTCTAATAGAAACCTTTTCATTTTCTTTTCCCGGGAGCCCTGTTACAAGTGCAATAGAAGGTAATAGCGTACGAAACCATTTAAGACCATGGGAAGTCGATACAGTGTAAAAAAGCCACGGAAGCCATACCAGTGCAAATAGAAGCCACTTCAGTGTAACAATTTACAAGTGGAATCTAGATCTGTATGATTTTACTAATAGAAATATCTCTCAGTTTTTCCACAGTTATATTGTCACATGATTGCTCAGAGGAAAAAGGTGCTTTCCACTCCAGCAAAGAAACAAGATTAAATGATTAAAAAAAAAACGCCAGACCAGTTTTGCAGACTTGGCATTTGTGATTTCGTTAACTCAGACGTCATGAATTGCTGACTTATAATTGCGAGTTAGTTATAATACAAAGGAAACGATCGGGAAGTTAAAATAAGTAAAGTTTAATTGGTAAAGTGAGAATCCATATTCAAACTGACTGCTTAGTTGAAATAAGATAGATATGTGCAAATGGATAAGAATGATCCTGAAACTGAGAGTCCATCTTATGGTGAATTTTCACGGTAATTGTGAACAATGTTATGTGAAAAACCGTTCAGTGTTCTTAGAGAAAATTAATAARGGATAAATATTTTTAATAAAAATGCGTTAAGCTAAGATACAAAGAATATTGTACATGTCTAAGTACTGTTTAATAAACGAGCAGGAGTGTTTTATCGGGTATAAAACACGAGGCGTAGCCGAGAATCTTTATCCGATATAAAATCACCTTCATGGTCATGATTTCTATTGTGTTTTCTTCATGAATTATGAATGAGTTTTCTAACATAAGTTAGAAAACTCAACATTCCGCGAACCAAATGGAAACTTGATATTACGTTTTATCCAATTAGAATCCTAGCTGGAGTACGATGGGCACGGCACGGTACGGCAGGTCTGTCACATTTTTTAAAGGAGAAAGTTTTGCATTGCGTAAAAAAAGTCACGCCCAACTTGCTGTAGCTTCTAAAACTTGAATAGACAAAATAGCACGCGCATAGGAAGCCATTTTAGTGCAACGATTCTGAGTCGTGATGGGTGGCACCGAAAATTTCGGCTACCCTTTTGTAATTAATCCTCTTAAGATGAATGGTTCTCAATGATTGCTGTTTCACGAATTTCTCAAGGTATTTTCAAGAAAAATCAACAGGAATTCTTAAGTATTTGAAGATTGAAGTATATTATTCTACTTTTAATCTTTTAAATTATTACAGTGAAGACATTTGAACCATGAAAACTTTACGTTTTTCGTAACTATTGTAAAATGCACACTGTAAATCATCTCTTGAGCCAGTCGATTGGAAATTATATTCAGTTTGTATCACTCGCTCGGTGTGTTTTAACTCAATATTTCATTTCAGAGGGATTTAAACAGGAGAARTGTTCAGGAAACAATATCCTGGAAAACCCTCGAAGTGTTCGGCTGTCTGATTGAATTTAGCCCTTATGGTTATTTCAGACAGCTAGTGCCTCAACCCTTTATATTCTCTTATCATATATATGATTTGTAACTGTAAATGTAATGGATGGTGCAAATAAATAGTTGTTGTTCACGGTTCGAGTGTTCTAACTGTAACAGAAATCCGACTTTCTCTTTAWACTCCACTGAATGTTGTTAACAAAACAGATATAGTGCTGATATTAACGTAACTGGTTACTAAAAGTTAACGGGTACCGAACAGGATCACCCGTAAAATAACCCCCACAATGCATTGCTAGCATGACAGGTTGTCTTTAATCAGCTTGAAAGGATCTACCAAGGTTACCAGTCAAACGTATCGAAAATATACATAGGAATTGGAAAATTAACTAGTGATGAGCTGAACAGCCACAAAAAGAAGATACAAGTATCTGTGGGACAGAGTAGACAATGTAAGCTAAAATGACTTTCAGATAAAGGTATGTGAGGAATCAAATTGAATCATTTAAGCAACAACAGACATATTCAAATAAAGATGTACTAATTTCAATTCCTTCTCATAAAGAATGTTAGAAAAACGGGCTCAAATATTGAAGATACTTTTTTTTCTAGTTAATTTTCTACTTTGAAGTTTACTCTTCAATTAAATAAAGCTGTACAAAGCGGAATCATGGGAGGGGAAAGTGACTTCCATTGTTGTCTCAACGCACCGTTTTCGAATTCGTACAATACCGCTGTGTTCCTTGATTGCAGACTCATTTAAATCAGGGTTAGCCTAATTTCAGTATCAGATTTAGTTTCAACAACAGCCTTCAAATGCAAAGTAAAGAATGCAACAACGTCAACAATACAAACACTTCAGTTAAAATTCCAGGGACCTTCACTGGAACACTTTGGTCTATCTCCAATGTAATGTAATTTATACAGCACAGCTGACATCACAATACCAAAAAACGATGCCAGCTTTACAATCTATTGAACGAGTCACAAAATATCACAATAGATAACAAAAGAGAAGCATAAATTATGTTACACTGACACGAGAATTTGAATAACTATTGTTCTGCACTGACTTGCGACTGACTAGCCTCGGGTTCACGTGGAAACATAAAAGCGTTTTCACATGTATGAGAGGGTAGTCAGTCCAGAACAATGGTTATCCAAATTGGCCACCATATTTTGATTCGGTGTATGATACGAGGGGTATCGTAAATGAGTCCCTACTGACCTTCATCTTTTTTTTTTTTTGTTGCTCCAGAAACATCATTTATCATGCGTCCTCATCCTACTGACCTTCATCTGTTTTTTTTCTTCTTTTTTTTCCCTTTTGCTTCAGAAGCATTTATCATGCGTCCTCCTAGACCCCTGTCATCCCCTACAGCCCGAACCATCAGCAGACGAACCTATGGACCATTCCTGTTCATAGCTCTCTTTGGCCTSTCTATATTTTATTATGCAAGTAAGTTATCGGTAGTGTTTAGCATTTTAGCATTTACAGGATTAATATCTATAAGGCTCAGGTCAAACGTCGAAATTTACCTGAGCCAAACCTAATTGAAACAATGGATAGTAGGAAGTTTTTTTGATGTTATTAGGTTCGCCTCATGTGAAGCTCGACGTTTGAAATGAGCCTAAAGCCGGTTAAAAGTTTAAAAAATGCATTTTTTAAGAATTTGTAAATTATGTTGTATATTATGTTGTCCTAACCGAATAATTTCAGCCCTACATTCCTCTATAGACCCCTAAAGTGACGTCAAAGGAGCTCAATTTGAAGAACAAACAAAATAATTTCGTTCTCCTGAGAATCGGAAACCTTTGCTTTGCCYTCCAAATTGAGCTGCATTCCCACGTTGCTGCCAGGGGTCTATAGACCATTTCACGGATCCYGTTACTCAACCTCAGCCTCGTCAGWGTGTAATATATTCTTWAGAAATTGCCTACAACCTGTGAAATTTTTAAGTGTTTCRATTGTTCGTTGATGTGTAAATTCCTTTCATTACTGCGGACTGTAGTCAAATTCTAAAGAATAATTACACGCTGAYGAGGCTGAGGTTGAGTAACGGGATCCGTGAAATGGCCTATTGATCCTTGTGTTACATTATTTTTCAGACTTCTCTTGCGTGACATGGGGACCATATTCACATCCAATAGCTGCTAGCTATTCTAGTAAGACAAACATAAGTCACGCAACAGTTCGTCAGAAAGCGTTGCCATGCCTGCGTAACGCATTCAAGGACGTACTTCTTGTCATAGTGTACAACTACSCTTACTACAAGAGTATCAAGCACTTTAAAGACCTTTACAAGCCAGTCTTTCCTTCCATTGTATTCTGTGGTCCACCAGACAAAACTGCAGGAAKCTCGGTCATGTCGGTCAACATCTACCGCGGAGTACTGGGTTATGAGTGTTTGGGGCAGGCAATTCGTCAACATCCGGGATTCCAAGGCTATTTTTACATCAACGATGACGTCATTTTAAATTACTGGAATTTTTATGATTTCGACCGGAATCAAATCTGGCAGTCGCCAAATGTTTTTAGCTCCACTCCAATGTATGGGGAAATTGAAGATCCATGGTATTGGTGGCGATCACCTTATGGGGTGTCCAACTGCCGACARGCCTACGAACACTTAACGAACATTAGCCTCGGACACCAAGACTTTAGTCTACTGAGAGAAAACAGCAATGGGAGCCTGCGATGCTACAGCGGYCGGTCAGATGTCTTGTATATCCCAAAAAGACATGCGCAGGCATTTTCAGTCTTATCTTTTATCTTCTATACACATAAAGTGTTTTTAGAGATCGCAGTACCAACCATGTTACGAGTATTGGAAAAAGCAACGAATATCAAATATCTGCCGGGTTATTACATACCTGGTGACGTCAGAAAAGCCGACAAACGGGTTACAGATAGCAGGTTTTTCTGGTTTATCTACCTGACTAAGAAAGATAACTGGTTTATTCATCCATTTAAACTGCATCACGAGAAACTGGACAGGAATTTTAACTTTGTAATGTTAAAGTACTTTTTGATTAAAAAAACACGAGAATTGACCACGTGTGCTTGGCGTAAGAATAACATCCCTGATTCAAGTCACTCGAGAAGTAATCAGAGTACAATAAATGGTTCTTGATGTGGAAGAATTAGAGGTTAGACAAGAGACGCACAATACCCAATGAAGTTCAAACTCATTTTTAAAAAATTAGAAAGAATAATGGAGACTGCAATAACAAGAGATGAGACAAGAGACGCACGTTACCCAATGAAGTTCGAACTTATCACAAAAATAGATTAGACTAAATAAAAATAACTTTTGGCGTATTAAATCTCGCACTGATGTCATTCATTATAGACTAGTTTACGCATGTTGTGGTGATACTAACCTCTTTATCTACCTCCACAATCTCGTACCCAGAGCTCTTATATCTTACTGTCGAGCATGCGCAGTAAAAAATAATGGCTCTAGGTACGAGGAGATTGCTAGCTCCCCACTGATGCCATCCGTTATAGATCAGTTTGCGCATGTGGTAGTGTCACTAAACTCTTTATCTACCTACCTTTTCTTTAGATCCTACCACACGTTCTMTTGCACAACACCGTCCTGTTTTCAGCTTTCACCCTGTTTGTCGCGGCCAACCTCTTTTCTTTTCCTGTTTCTTCCTTCTCTCTCTTTAAAACAAGCTCTTAAAATCTATATGGTGGCATTATCTACACCAGGAATAACAATTTCTACAGTAACAATATGATATAGTAGTCTCAAGTTAAATGAAACATTTCTGCGACAGGAAATGAAACCGTTCCTTTTTTTTTCATTGTCTTGCAACTTTATTATCATCGTGATTTTTTGGTGATCAAAAATATCTATAAAATATAAATTTTCGTAGTGAGTCTAGATCATTTTACGAGTTAACAATTTAGATAATCATTTTGAGTATCCTTCATACTGTGTTAAAGATGTGATCTAAAATTACTAAGGCTTTGGTTAACCACATGCAATGTCAACCTAACATCAATTCTATCTTATCTTATCTTATCTAAGTCGGGGATGGCTCACAGATCACGCCCTGAAACAGTCCCTGGGCTGTTAAACGTCAAGGCACGGCTATGTCACAGATCGAACCCTGAAACAACCTCTGAGCTGATCAAAGTCACAGATCAATATGGAATTGCGCACGATTTCAAACGCGACTCGTGGAATTAGCCATTGATCCTGATGATAGCTATCGTTATTTGTTCCATATCTTATTTTATTACTCTCTTTTTCCAATATTCCTTTTCCCGTACTATTCAGTTCAGTTCTATTCTTGTTATATAAACTTCAGCCAACATCTTCGTTGAAACTTCCGAGTGTTTATCGATTGGACGAAGTATTACCGAGTGGACAACAATTGCTCTACTGATTCTCATCTTCGTTGCCACTTCCGAGTGTTCATCGATTGAACTAAGTATTACCGAGTGGACAACAATTGCTCTATTGATTCTCATCTTCATTGCCACTTCCGAGTGTTCATCGATTAAACTAAGTATTACCGAGTGCACAACGATTGCTCTATTGATTCTCTATCTCACAACATATCAGAATCCATGTAGACCTTARAGGGCGAATCGCGCTCTTCAACAATACGAATTTTTCCATCGTAATAATCGCCATTGTATACGRGAGATGAGGGAGGTGGAAGGTCCTTCTTCTCGGCAAACGTGGACGAGTTCCCGTACCGGTATGGTCCGGGGCTCTCGTATGGAGGTGATTGGGCATAAGGGGTGCTGTGGTATTTGTCTTCCTCTTTGGATGTAGTAGTAGACTCCTTGGGTTGAGGCTTGCGGTAGCTTGCCGAGGTCGATGGTGGTGTGTTTTCGTAACCTCGTGCATATAAAACGATTATGAAAATAATAACGAGGAT